TATGAAGAACATTACTCTAAACAGGTCACCATTTGTTTTCAGATGACGTATTATCTCGTTACACCATGGTATCACAATATCATACAAACCAGTGATTTGGATTGTAATAATTTTTAGATGTGTATTGATTTGTATATTTGTTTTTGTATTAAGATTTTTTTACGTTTTGGGAGAGGGAAATAAATTCTTTGATATTTTTAAAAGTCTATTCTTGAACTTCCACGCTGTTTTTGTCCAATATGTAAGATACGTTTCTCTCAGTTAGTTACTGTTTTTTGGCTAGGATTGAAAGTTTATATTTGGAATCTCTGATATCTCATAATTAATTTTACTTATTTAAGTTGTTCATTTTTGTGTTTAAATGCAAGCAAGACACTTCTCTCGCTACAATAGAAGGCCTAGTGGTAAATAATTATTTATTCTTCCAAATACATTATGAGCTATTTAAATGTATGATTAATTGGCCAGAAGTCAGACAGCATCTTAAAGATTTAGTCTCAAATGCAACATATGTTATGATCTGGAACTAAGTTTATATTTTCCACTACAATTTTCTTACAAATTCTAATAACCAAAAAGCTTTTAGTATTTTGTTAGCCATTTCAGGTTTAAACTACTAGGTGGCGTTTGCAGAAGCATCCACAAAATTGAGCGGAATCATCAAGGGTTTATAATATATTGTTTTTGTCATACTACATAAAACAGTTGTTTTTAATGCATGCGTTGCGGGTCTTAAGTAGCATTTTTACTCTTTAGGGAGTAAGAATCATTTTTAGGCCTCTATGGAGTAAAAATCAGCTGTTGTCAACTCAGTTGTAAATTTCTATCGTAAACGATTGCATATATCGAAAATATGTATCGATTCGTGCTTCGTAACCATTTTAACCTACAGTCTACAGTCTCTTCCCATAACATTTTAGCATTGCAGATACATTAATCAATTCCCACACTCAACACTGCTCACCTTTATTACTTCCCTCACCGTGTTCCCTTCCCTCCTACGTCCGTGCTATATCCGTGATTCGCAACGAGAGAGAATATGTTCCATAGATATACTGGATGAAAAGAACCAACGAATAAATAAACAAAATTTCGATAGATCAGCAGCCTGATCATTTTCAAATTACTTTTCGTATAAATTTATACGATATAATGAAATAAATTACGTTATACATTTGAAAATTCCAATATTAAGTGTATTCATAAGAATAACGTAGAAACTTTTAAGGCAGGCAGGGCAGAGCCCTAGGAGAGTACTCTTATGGAGAATAAGTGAACTGTTGTTGTTTGCTTGTTTTTAAACAAAATATGATCAAATTTGGGAAATGTATTTATTTATACTATACTGTCAACATTGAACTATAAAAACACCTTACAGCCTTCCCTGTAGCAGCCATGGTAGCAGCATACACAAAAACTCGTTAAACTAATGTTATAGTAATAGGGAATAAATATTTCATTTTTAAGGAGATATTTTATTGACAACACAGTCAGACTAAAGTAAAGTAGCTTTTAGTCTGCAGGTTCGTTGTGGCGGGTGTAGTTATAGTTCCGTAACGGTTTTGCAAAGTATTTACCCGTAGTGGATTCACTAACGATCTCAAATACACGCCTGATATGTTGTCATTGTGTGTCACCGCTATTTTGCTGCTTTGTTCAAATAATCCTCAAACGAATCAGTTTTATTATTTCAACCTATGTAGGTACGATATGTGATCGTAGGATACGATAGACTGCACATTGTGAAACAGGTTTAGTCGAGCAGGATCCATTTACACATATCGTAATTAAATAATCCATAACAATTTGACTGCTCTATTGCAGTTGTTTCGCCACGAAAACGTTAAAATCTAAGGCATCTGTTTGCTTCATTTTGTTAGTTTATCCATGTTAGAGGTTGACGACTGTTACGTTCAATCATTGAAAAACCAAGGACAAACCCCCAGACAAAAACACTCCACATATTTCGTTTCTATAAACCATTAACAAATTTTGATTTCAGCCGCAGCTCCATATTGCAAATGTATGTTTTGAAGATTCAAATGTGCCAAAAACAATGGACAGCTAATTACTATTGAAGGGCACTAAAAATCACTTAAATATGGCAGTTTTAAAATGAGACTTAATTAACTTTTCTACGACACTTAGCAACACGTATATTGAACAAAAGCTGTAGATTTGAACCGTCCGTTTGGGACACGGTGTATCCAGGTCCCATAGGTTTTAATTTTTTATTAATATCCAGCAAACATTTACAACGACCAAATAAACATGCAATTAAATTTCCGAATTTATAATGTACAATGTGTTTCGCGGACTATGAGTCACTACAACACAGTGTATTAGTAACAGTGTGTTAGAAAGAAGCCTTGTAACAATAAGGCGTATTCACGGCATTTCTGTTTTAGGAAGCTCATTCAGAGTTTACCAACCGAGCGAGACTGAGAATTTGATGAGCCTGGTGTACAGTCTATTCAAAAACTAAAAGTGTCCAGGTTCGTCGTTTGCGTGCAACGTTACCCTTGGACACTTTTGAATGTGTCCAAGTTTAACGTTGCATGCAAACGACGAACCCGGACAAGTTTTCAAGTTGTCCAGGGTTGTCGTTTTCATGCAACGTTAAACTTGGACACATTTGAATGTGTCCAAGGGTAACGTTGCACGCAAACGACAACCCTGGACAACTTGAAAACTTGTCCAGGTTCGTCGTTTGCATGCAACGTTAAACTTGGACACATTTGAATGTGTCCATATTCGTCGTGTCGTGCAACGCCACACCTGGACAACTTATAAATGTGTCCAGGTTCGTCGTTTGCGTGCAACGTTAAGCTTGGACACATTTGAATGTGTCCATGTTCGTCGTTGTCTGCTTTTATCGTTGTCTGATGGAGGCGGGGTCTGCTTTTAACGTAGTCCACGTTTAACGTTGTCCAACTTCGACATCGTCCCAACCTATAAACCTAACCATTTGAACATTGCACATTGCACTATTTACCAGGGGGAGGTGGTGGGGGAAGCATGTCTGAGCGGCTGTGTCGTCCACTGCTGCTAGGACTGTCAGTCTTGTCTGTCGCAGAGTCCATGGTCTCTGTCGTCGCGGTGGACGTCGACGTCGCTAGCGTCTCTGTCGCAACCTCGTCTGTCGCTGAAGCTGAACTCTCATCCATGTTGACTCTAGCAGATTACCTCTTCAGTAACATTGTCCTGAAACAAAGTAAAATGTTGTTGGGATTTCTAAATGAATTATCAGTATTTGTTCGTGGTTTCACTCCATTGGGGATTGTTTACGCCTTTTTGTGAGGTCCAAACCAACTCAGATCTTATTACTGTATAGATTTGACGTTTTGTTAGAAAGCGTCTTTAATTATTACCAAATGTAAAATGGGTAGCCAAATGAAAACTGACATCTGGATCTGGGTCTCATAGCTTTCTGTTATCTGAAATTATGCAGGAGTAAGTGTATTTTAGGGAATAAATCAAATTATTGAATAACTTCGTCAAGTTAACTTATTTAAAAATTGTTCATCTATTTCCTTTGATTTTTACTTTCTCCCCATAGTTTATGGAGAAAGTATATTTTCGTCAAAATTTTTGAGTTTGAGCTTTTGATAGAAATGTCCGTTTTGCCCCCTCCCCCCACAAAACCCAGAAAAGTGGTTTTCAAAGTGATGTATATATTGTGTGTTTATCCGTATGTGTGTTTGGATATGTAGGCTTATTGAGCTAACAGACCACACCTGTAGTCTGGTTTTGATGAAATTTGATATCCAGGCGTTTTTGAAATTTTACAAACCCAATTGCTGTAAAAATTCCGGTTAAAAAGTTATTGAAGTTTATGCGATTTTTTCCATAAAATTAAAGTTACTCCCACCAGTTTTTGACACGCTAATGGGAGAAAGTATGAGTCAAAATTGCCGATAACGTTTATTTTTCAAATAAAATGTCGTTAAGTTTTGCGTTAACGACAACAGATGAAGGTATACAATTCTCATCTAAGACGTACCAAGCCCCGGAATTATCCTGGTCAAATGTTAATTGTATTTTTGTTCAGAAAAGCCAACTCGTCCGCGTCCCATCCCTGCATTCCTATTAGCATATTAATGACCGGAACGCCGGAACACGGAGTATAGCGGAACATTGAAACGACCAAAGCAGATTCACTTTCTAGCGGAGTTCCTATACGTATGTAGTGGTATGACGTATGATGACGATGATGATAAGAAGAAGTAATGCACCCTCAGGTCTTGAGCAAACAACGAGATGCAGAAATTGCTTTAAAATACAATAAAAAGGTTTATTCATATATGCTTTATTATGTAATCATGATTATCAGCTGGATAACTCATTCCAACGCTCTTCACCTCACTAAACGCGTACATTTTGTAGCTACGTATTCTCAGCTGAATAATATCATAATATTCAGCTGATAATACATATTATGGATGTTGTATTCATATTTAGAACACATAAAAGAGCGTTATTTATATGAACGTGTAGATTTGTTAATTCAAAGATCCGCTGTTTCTTTGGGTATTTCCAAATACTAAAGGACAGCTGGCTTCAATTTCGAGCCATCAAAAGCCACTAACCTTTCTTGGTTCTCCAAAAGGATTGAACCAGCGACATTGTGAAGGTTTGAGCACTACAACCACAAAGATACTCAGCTTCTGTTCAGAACCAAACACGTTTCATCACACTTTTCACTAATTGAAATAGTTGTGACAAACAAATCATACAATTAAGTGGAAAATGTTCTTCGTAGTTTAAAAAAGGACATTATTTTAGTATTTTGCGTCTAGGTCCGTGCTAAGCACCGACAAGGCTTTGGGAATTGTATAAATCTATTGAGATTCAAACAATGTTAAAGACACGTCTGGTACAAATCCAGTATAAAGACGCTTGATTATAAAGACATCCAGGGACCCCCCATGGCGTAGCGTCGTCATGGTGACGAGGGGGCATTATGGTCGACCACGGACATTGTGAACATTGAGGAGAGCTCATTTAGTACCTACAATGGCTTCACAAAGAAACTGCTCTGGATAAACACTAGCGGTCTGAGAGGAGTTGGGAGCTACGGTCTGAGAGGAGTTGGGAGCTACGGTCTGGGTGGAGTTGGGAGCTACGGTCTGGGTGGAGTTGGGAGCTACGGTCTGGGTGGAGTTTGGAGCTACGGTCTGAGAGGAGTTGGGAGCTACGGTCTGAGAGGAGTTGGGAGCTACGGTCTGAGAGGAGTTGGGAGCTACGGTCTGAGAGGAGTTTGGAGCTACGGTCTGAGAGGAGTTGGGAGCTACGGTCTGAGAGGAGTTTGGAGCTACGGTCTGAGAGGAGTTTGGAGCTACGGTCTGGGTGGAGTTGGGAGCTACGGTCTGAGAGGAGTTGGGAGCTACGGTCTGAGAGGAGTTTGGAGCTACGGTCTGAGAGGAGTTTGGAGCTACGGTCTGAGAGGAGTTTGGAGCTACGGTCTGGGTGGAGTTGGGAGCTACGGTCTGAGAGGAGTTTGGAGCTACGGTCTGGGTGGAGTTTGGAGCTACGGTCTGGGTGGAGTTGGGAGCTACGGTCTGAGAGGAGTTGGGAGCTACGGTCTGAGAGGAGGTGGGAGCTACGGTCTGAGAGGAGTTGGGAGCTACGGTCTGAGAGGAGTTGGGAGCTACAGTCTGAGAGGAGTTGGGAGCTACGGTCTGAGAGGAGTTGGGAGCTACGGTCTGGGTGGAGTTGGGAGCTACGGTCTGGGTGGAGTTGGGAGCTACAGTCTGAGAGGAGTTTGGAGCTACGGTCTGAGAGGAGTTGGGAGCTACGGTCTGAGAGGAGTTGGGAGCTACGGTCTGAGAGGAGTTGAGAGCTACGGTCTGAGAGGAGTTGGGAGCTACGGTCTGAGAGGAGTTTGGAGCTACGGTCTGAGAGGAGTTGGGAGCTACGGTCTGAGAGGAGTTTGGAGCGACGGTCCTCTTGTTGCATCGCATTGTGCCCGTTTGGAACGAGGGACATAGACTTAGTAACGCTACAATATGGATGTGACAGAAATTCAATTTATTTTGCGTATTGACGTAGTTAGCATTTTTATTCATGTATTTTCAGTACCTTTGCATCGTTTTTGGGTAACAAATTTTTTAAATTATTTTTTACTAACACATCTGGTTTTTAGAGAATCACCCTTATAAGATATTGCCGCAAGTGGGATGGCGAGGACCTAGACCCGGGACAGATTTACTTTTACGGTTCGATGTCCTCCAGAGTACAAAAAACTATTACAGACCCTTAGCAACATGAGATTGTCCCTGTACGCAAGGTAAAATACAATGTCCAGGGACACTCCCATATTTCTAAGTGTATAGTTCAAATTCATATACATAAACATTAAGTATCAAGCTACTAACATACCACTAAACAAAGTGTTAACACCTCCCCTGTAGCAGCAAACCTAAGTACTCGTTGAAACTAATACAATTTAAATAGATAATCATTCTGACAAGTAAATATAGTAATTAAGTAAATGCTTTAGCAACAATCCGATAAGGAAATTTAAAATTCGCTTAGTCAACCGGTTTGCTATAACGGTATTTTTATTTCCCGTTGAGTTTTATTATTTAGCGCGCTACGTGATGCAGTCGCCATTCCTGAACCAATGTTCCATGCACTCAATTACAATAAAACTGAGTCGCGTTGGTGTGTGTACGTGAGTATAAACGTAAGGTAGTGTGCGAGCGTACGTGCGGACCGACGTCGTTACAACCAGGGTTTACTACTTTGGTCGGTAACAGTCAAAACAATCTGCCACGGCGGTTAACGACTGTCTGGGACCGAACTGGGAGTCGTGGAGTTCTGAGGTTACTGCAGAGTGACTCACGATTAAGTTTAACCATTGTATATACACAGAATAGACTTCCCAAGTAATGTAAAATTTTAAACCAAGAAAATGGACGAAGTTCAGGACCATCTCACCAGAGGGTACTAGCATAGATAAAACATACTCCCTTAGGTAGCCTACTAGTGTATTGGGTTAAATTGGTTTAATATTAATTCACATCAATGCAATATCATAGCAAACAGCTGATTGATTTATCATTTGTCACAGAATATTGTAATTAGTTGGTAGATCATGTCAGATTGCAACACGTTTTTTGATTGAAAATTTTACATTACAGACTTCGTAGACAAGACTTCGTAACAGTCAATATCTTCAATATATTATGAATTAGACAGTAAATAATTTAAGTTGCAAACTGACTATAAACTATGCAGCAGTATTATTCTTTTCTCTTAATATAACACTACTTCACAACGTAAATCTTCAAAAGCTACATCATTTTGCAATTGTATTATACCAATAACATATGAAAATTTTATTTTTTCTTTTCTTTATCAGAATGATTCGAACGATAAGAGTCTATGACATCATGAAGACCCTAGCTTGACCTCTACAACAGTAAAATAGTGTACTCCATATAATATGTCAGAACCGAATTCTCTAACTTAAGTAGTTAAACTTCAAGTGAACGTAGGCCTATGCAAACCTATTTTTCATTAGTTCACAAACCAGCCCGATCATAAGAGGTAAGGTTTGCATTGTAAAAAAGATTGGTTTACTTTAAACTATTTGTAATACCAACATGTTTCCCCATATAAATTAGCTTAAAAGACAAACTATTAAAATTAAAGGTTTTTATGCCAATTGATCACCATTCAAAGTATATACACATTGCGTGATATCCTATGGTATCCTTACGGATGGATTTATATTGATAGTTTAATTGTATAAGTTCATTGAGTTTGTAAAATTCCTTTGATTTTAACCTTTAAAAAAAGAATATTCGTGAGTTTCTCGTGGCAACACGTTGATCGTAAAGTCCCATTGTTAAAAATACTTTTGCTGTGAACTTATTGGACAGAAATACAATAACCAAATTGGAAATTCGATTGTTATACAGGTTTGCTGCAAGGGGGTGTTTTACACAGGACCTTAGCTTAGAATCACTGGAATTGCCAAGTGTCTTTTTAACATTTTTAAGTGTTATTTTACCAAAAAGTTTTCAAATTCGTTCGCAGACAAAACTTAGAACAGTTTCTCTCTTCATGTGCAATGTCCAGATCTAAATACTGTTTATCTTATAACAATGAGGTAGTAAAATATCATGAACACTTTAAACACGATAAAATTACGTTTAACGTCCTTTTGTTCCCATTGCTCATTTTCTCAGAAACACTGCTTTATAAAAACACAATTTAGTACACCTTAATTGAACATATATTCAAAGCGAAGTGAAAGAAGGGGGTTATTGGTTTATTGTATCGGTTAGGAGAATCATTATATTCTTTATTATTATACTTGCTTACTAAATGAGCGATGAATTTTCTTAGTAAAATAGTATTTATTTACGTAAGAAGTAAAGAGCCTAAAATAGCCTTACTGTTGAAGTGGTTCTTTAGGACTTCATCTATACCACCCGTACAAGTCACTAACGGTGAAGCTTTTTCGTCAATGGTTGTTTAAAGATGATAACCGTTTTACTGTATACAGTTTTGCAGAATCCTGAGTATAAGCTAGACTTGAGTTTGAAATACGTAGTTTATAAAACATTATTTACAAAACATAAATATAACACGATTATTTTCTATCCAAACTTAAGCGTGGCGATTGCCTCCAGGGAGACGATAAAATTTGTTACAAACTCCAATAAGATGTTTTTGGTGCTTTTATAAATTCAATCATACTAAAAAGTGTTGTTCTTTTTCTCCGATTGAAATTTGTTCTCAAAGACGATATTTTCAGAACATGTAAAGGTTTAAGTTGGGTGGGTTCATATTCTACCTTTTTGTACGATTTGGTCCACTTTATGGACTAAAAATACAATTTAGATCAATAGTGTGTTTTTTATTCACTCAAAACAAAAATATAGACATACGAAAATTCCATAATCTGTTTTTAAAAATAAATTTAGATGGGAAAATTCGTTGTTAACTGCCAGCATGTAAACATTGCAGCAGTATTTTTCTTTTTTCCTAAAATATGTATTTCACCATGTAAAATCACATTTCCTGATTCCACAAGCCACTAGCCATTAAAATTTTAATAGTCGTGTAGTTCTCGCTTGAAAATAATTATATGTTAGTCGTTTAGACCCTGAGAAACTTCAGTAGATTTTTAATGGCTCAAAACTAGACCTAGCTGTCCTTGACTATTGGACGTTCAATAAATAGTTTTAGCTGAAGAAACAGCTGTTCTTAGTCAGTAACAAAGCTATACATCTCACTCATTGTTCAGTCATATTAAACTTTAAATACCCCCGCCGCAGCAAACCTGCAGACTAAGCGATTTTTCATATGTCTGATTGGATTTACACTAAAAAGTCTACTTAAAAATGTAACATTTATTTCCTATTTAAATAGAATTATAGTTAGTAAGAAATAAAAACATTTTCCAAATTTGATCAAAATATGTTCATAAACAAGCAAACTACAACAGTTTACTTATTCTCCATAAGAATAACATGGGAATTTAAAATTTACATTTTTTTGGAATTATCTCCGTAACCATTAGGCGCATAGTAACACTTCAATATACTAAATTATTTGTTTTTTTAAGCTATACAAAATGGTTTGAAAAGATTTTGCAAAATTTTATGTTTTTTGGGTCAAAAATGGGAAAACCCTATTTTAACCCTATGAAACCCCCCGTAAACCCCCGTTCCCATAGTCCGATCATGCTGGTTCGCGAACTCGTTCAAGTTTATCCCGCCTTACGCCTTCAAACCAAATTTTATCAAAATCGGACAAAAATTACTCAAGTTATCGTGCGGATGGACACATATATATATACGGTATATATATATATATACAAATTTGAACGAATGGTGTTTTTGGCCTCTGGGGACATCAAAATGAAAAAGTAAATCGGTCCCGGGCCTAGGTCTTACCATGAGACCTTTCCCTATAGGGAAATTCGCTAATAAAAAGGAACGCTCCGTTACTGTTTTAAAATTATATACAGATACTGTATTGATGGAATCAGTTATGATAGTTAAAAATCAGTCGAGTGACATTTCCTGTGGTAATATGGGAAAATATTAGGAAAGGGGATGCGGAATACTACCCCCAGGTGAAACATGACGGCACGAAATCTGCAAACTAACCAATATGGGAGCCGTGTCTGCGACTGGAATACTACCCTCCAGCAAAATGTCGTTCTATATAAGTTAATTTCATACGTGATAATTATCATTGTAATTTTAATTCAGGTCACTCCGTTTGAAAACAGAAAAGGCATGTAGGGAATATCAAACAGAATTTTGAAACGTCACATCAAGTCTGGTTAGTTATGTTAGGTTATAGAACAGTTTGACAACGAAAGTTGAGTGTTTGTGACTGGAAAACTGGCCCCCACTCTAACGTCAACATGAAATAGGAACTTTTTGGGAGGGGAGTGGTGGGGAAGGGGTAGTTGTCCGGGGGCAGTCTTCCGGCTACTCATTTTCAATAAAATTAATTTCGCACTTCGTTTTAATTTTAAACGTATCTCATACACTTCATCTTCATAAAAAGCAAAAGAAAGGCAAAAGAAAGTTATTCGTTGCATAGTAGGCTTAGAAAACAATCAAGAACATTGTACAGATAGTTTTATTAGTCTTAAAATAATGACGTTACCATGTATGTATATTTTTTGTAATCTGGTTTATGTTAAGGAAAATATAGTTAATTTTAGTGAACAATGTACACACATTTCCTGATTCCACAAGCCACTAGCCATTAAAATTTTAATAGTCGTGTAGTTCTCGCTTGAAAATAATTATATGTTAGTCGTTTAGACCCTGAGAAACTTCAGTAGATTTTTAATGGCTCAAAACTAGACCTAGCTGTCCTTGACTATTGGACGTTCAATAAATAGTTTTAGCTGAAGAAACAGCTGTTCTTAGTCAGTAACAAAGCTATACATCTCACTCATTGTTCAGTCATATTAAACTTTAAA